GTCCAAAAGAGAATGCTAAAACGAAAAGTCGAACGACACATTATTTTAAGTTGTACACCTCAATAATGATTGTCCAAAAATCCAAGAAGTGCTTGACTTCAAAGATTTAATTTGTTTTGAAAAAGTACTCGAGGTGAGTCGAGGTTTGAATTTGAATTTTAAGCGTGTGCACTAGCAAAGTGGGCTAGTCTTCTAAGTGACCAATTAGAAGTAATTGATCAAATAGGTGTCACTGTAAGAAAGCCCAGGATTAAGCTTTAAAATGTTGTGTATGGTGATCAAAGATTGATGGCGAGGCTTTGAAAGCACTCGACTTACAAAGGTGGAAAATGACTCGATAAATCAAGAATTATTTCAAAATAATTTGAATAAAATCAAATATAGACAAACTAAACATTAGTAAAAATATATGTTAAACATTAGTAGCCAAAATAGAATATGTGTTTGATTAATCCACATATCAAACTTATTAAAAAACCATGCATACTAATTAGAACACACATGAAGAAAAAAAAGTGACGGTTAGTAGTATTATATTTACATTCACATGCTAATTAGAATATGCATGTAAAAAAATATATATATTAAAAAGAACCTTAAAAACAACAAACCAAATTATAATACTTACAAAATTTTATGATAGATTTTAAGTAACTAATAAACATGATTAAGATTTTAATAAGTAGTTACTAATTATAATTCTTTTGTCTAATAAGACAGTAAATGCTGAGTTTTTCTTAGCAAACCCGAACCACCTTATACGTGACTTGTACCAGCTAGTAGTGAAAGGAACAATCACCACTGGTCCTGAAGCTTAATGCGTCTGCAAAACTCAAACACCTATGACTCATCCTCCTGGTACATAGAAAATTAGGCAGTATAATATACCAATATGAATCAATCCAACATCAAGTGTAACAATCAATCCCTCAATTACCTTACATAAACATGAGCTTAACAAACATAGAATTAATGAATCAAAATGCAGGCCATGACATGAACACTGTTAGACCTTAAGCAGCATAATTCAGTTTACAACCATATTTTACAAATAGCAGAATATTTTCAGAAAAAGAAATTAGACCAAATCTTAAACAAAATAGAACACATTCAACATCATAAATATCAAAGCAAGTGGAAAGGGAAAGCATGAAGCTTCCATGTCAAAATGTTACCGAAACCGAAACGCCGAATGCCTTGTCATTGGAAGTGATGTTGTGTGCGCCAGATTGACAGTAGCAGTTGTGTAATGTGAACTTTGTCGACGTCATGAACTTCCAGGCTTTATTCAATCTAATGTCGTACGGAGTCGCTGCCGGAGTTGTCGCAACTCGGCAACGTTCACAATGAAGAGAGGTTGATCTCGATTGAGACATGGGTTTTCGCTGCTACAAACTGCTTTGTCAATTGTAGCAGGCTCTGTAACGAGTTCCACCTTGTAATTCGCATCATTTTACTTGCTTGTCGCGACTGTCAATGACCTATTGTTGCTGCTGAGAAATAGTTCCTATTCTTCCCTTTCACTCTCGTACCATCAGCTGCGGTTGTTGAAGAGCAAATTGTGGCTGTTGTCGCAGCTATTGTTGCTCATGCCTGCACGTTCTCGCTGTTGTGAGTTTTATGATCCGGTGTTGCCGTGTTGAAATTGGATGGAACTAATATCGTTAATACCCTCTCAACATTCACTTTTCTCACTTCGCTACTGTCTTCATAAGTTTGCCAAAGATTAAACCACGTATAACCAAAACTCTTCATAAGTTTATTCAATGTAACGCGGGAATCCACCATCCGCGTCCAAATATCAGAGCTAGCCAGAACAGATATGAAACAAACAGAGGAGTAGTAACACAATCCAGTATATAACTATATCAGTTAATATCTGCTTACAAACCGTATGAACAAAAACTTGAAACAACCGTATTAAAACCATTATAATAGCCACAAACAACAGTAAACACAATATAAAATCGAGATTTGGGAGAGTAGAGATTTAAAGACCAACCAAAACGAGCTCAAATCACCGTTGCGTGGTTAGACGCGTCGAAGCTTGGAAAAAATTGCACAACGCGTTTTCGGAGCCAGGAGCTGAGTCACACAATGTTTTTCATCTAGTCGTGGTTTAGAAATCAAATCCTCGTCTCAGCGGCATATGGGAACGATGTTGAGAGTGCTCCGTGAATCGTCAATGCTGTCGCCATGAATGATTGCGGGAGCCCTGAGTCTTTCGTTGAATCCACACAGAGGTTATATTATTGTTGAACTTGGTAAACCGCAAGCAGTTTATCGCTGTGTCATCAACGTTGTTTCCGTGGCCATTATTGAACTGTTGCCAATTTGTATCTGGTGTTCGAAACACTGTCGTTGAGTTGTAACTGGTTGGCGCCCGCGGCTGTCGTCACAGAGTCGTGCTGAAAAAAGACAACTACATCCAATGTCACAGAGATGCGCTATTGCGAACGTTAATGCTCGAAACAAGGTTGAGTTGCAATGGAGGCGTGATGCTTGAGCTTTAAACGTCGGTGTGGCTGCGAATAGAAGTGAATGAGGAAGATTTGAAGGTCGAGCTTGAAGATCTGTGGGTGGCTTGCGGTTTTGGTCCGTCTGTGATAAAAATGGATGCGATGAAGAAGATAGTGGTGAGGATGATGGTTTTGTGAAAAAAACGACGGCCAATGTTAGGGTTTGGGGTTAGATTTGGGGCTGCGCCGATTTAGGGATTTTGGGAAATGTGAACAGTGCATCCGAATTGGGGCGGTTGATTTAGGGTATTTGTGGCGGCTGTGAACAGTGAATAAGGGTTCTCTCTGAATCAATCTCCCCTTCCCTTTATAACCTGCGGACTCTCTCCCTCAGCCTCTCCAATGGGCCTACACGATGTGCCTTATGTAAATCCAAATATTTTTCCAAACAATTTTCTTTTGTTTTTTTATATTAATTAAACATATTAACTACTAATTAATATTAACAATATAAACTATTAACTATAACAAGCAAATTGATAAAACTATAAGAAAACTAATATTACACTAATTAATACAAATAAATCGATATAAACCTAATTAATATTATTAACATAAATAATCTAATATATATATATATATATACAAAATACTATTATTATTAGAAATATTTTAAAAGAAAGAGAAAAGTTAAGAAATTGAAATAAAATAATATTCATAAAAAAAATTTAGGATACGTGTCACGCTTTAATTGGTCAAAGAGAATAAATTTGAAAAACGCCCAATTTCGGGTGGACACGTGTTTAAACGGCATGAAACAATAAATGCGAAAATATTTACAAAAAGGGGTAGGACAAATTTAGGGTATGACAGCGGGTTCAAACAACGATATTAATGTGTTGAGCCAATTCAATGTCTTTAACGATGTTCTGCAAGGACGAGCCCCCGAGGTTCATTATACAACCTATCGTACTCAATACAATAAGGGCTATTATCTATCAGGTGGTATTTATTATGAATGGGCAATGTTTGTGAAAAGTATCCCGATGCCACAAGGGGATAAGAGAAAATTGTTTATCCAACATCAAGAAGGTGCAAGAAAGGATATTAAACGAGCATTTGGAGTTCTCCAATCCTGATTTGCAATCATACGTAACCCAGCACAATCTTGGCACTTAGACACACTCCAACGCATAATGAATACATGTAGCGTATTACACAACATGATTGTTGAAGATGAACGTGCTACATATGGTGGAAATTTTGATAATTCTTATGATCATTTGAGTAATGACGCAACAATATTGTCGAATGATTCTAATATTGATTTTCAAGAGTTCCTACACAGAAGATTTGGCGTTCGTAATAAACAAGTTCATTGACACCTTCAATAAGATTTGATAGAGCATATATGCCAACGTTATGTAATATATATATATATATATATATATATATATATATATATATATATATATATATATATATATATATATATATATATATATATATATATATATATATATATATATATATATATATATATATATGGGGTATGTTTGAGATTTGAGTCATGTATTGTGCTTTTTAATATATATATATATATATATATATATATATATATATATATATATATATATATATATATATATATATATATATATATATATATATATATATATATATATATATATATATATATATATATATATATATATATATATATATATATATATATATATATATATATATATATATATATATATATATATATATATATATATATATATATATATATATATATATATATTACTTTGATTTATTTTAAATGTATAATTTTTTAATGTTTTTGATATATTTGAATTAAAATGTTTCAATTATATTTTTATATAATATATATGTGTGGTATGTTTGAGATTTGGTGGGACCTATTTTAGAATTTTTAACAGGTTGGATGAATATTTGAAAAATATAGTAGAGTTGTTTAGAAAATAAAAAGGTGTAATATAATATAAAAAATTAAGTTAATTTCATTTCAGAAATCCAAATGAAATTAAGTGAATTTCATTTAAAAAATCCAAATGAAAATGATGAATGTGAATGCTCTTGTGTACACGATCTTTAAGCATCAAGATTCAAGACAATTAGGTGAGTACTGATTCTTTTGGCAGAATACACAAACGTAAGACAGTAATATAGTTTAATTTATAGGTTTCAACTTGCAAACTTGTAGGTATAGACAACAAAATCTTTTACCTGAATCCAATAAAAATCTTTTATTAAAATTAACTATTACACCCAAGGTTTTTAATCCAATAGGATCCATTTTGATGCTTTGGACATCTTCTGTAAGTTTGTGCCTGCAAAGTTTAGTATTTAAGGTCTAATCCAGAAGGTGCTTCAACATATTTTTATTTTTACTGTTTCTACATGCAATTCTTCATGCTTTAATTAAGCTTTTATGCAATTGAATATTCTAAAACAAAAGTGAACACATTTTAAAAAAATTGGTAGACTATGATCTAGATACATTTTTACCTCTCGTCACCAATAGTCTCCACAAGAGCATCTACCCTGCTTAAAATGATGGAACCTATGTGTATCTCTAACAATTATTTCACGTTCTAGAAGCTGAGATGCATACTTGATGAAGTTGTGACAGTCAGTACAGATGCGGAGATTCTTCATGATTCGAATTGGAGTCCTGTGCATAGTGTTAATGATACCAAAGACAAGTGCAAGTTTTTCACTGTGATGACTAATTAGTACTTCCCTTTGTTCTTCTTCTACATCTTGCATAACCAATTTCACATCATAGGAATATCCAATTTCCTTCAATCTTCCTATTAAAGAGTCAAGATATGAATATATTTCATTGTCTTGTGGATGAGACCTATCTCCCACTACAAAAGTGTGGATTTGATCCTTTAGCTGAATCCAAGATTGACCAGGTTGCTTTTTAACACCTCTTTGATGCATTAAACTCCTTACCGTGGCAGCCTCATCCCATCGATTATTAGAAGAACACATGTTTGATAGCAAAATGTACGCGCCTGGATCAGACGGCGCACTTTGAAGTAACATTTCGGAAACCGATTTTCCCATCTCAATATTTTTATGAAGTCGGCACGAAGATAAAAATGATGTCCATACAGATGTCAAGTGAGAGATACCATTTTCAAAAATAAAGTTCTTTGCTTCAATCAATTGACCTGCTCTACCATAAAGATTGACCATAGAGGTGTAGTGTTCAACTTCAGGGATGATGTGATAAGTATCTTTCATCATCCTAAAATAACGACTTCCTTCTTCAATAAGTCCTACATGGCTGCATGCATTTAAAACCCCTACAAAAGTAACCTCATTCGGGATGATACCCTTATTCAACATTCCTTCAAAAAGACTAATTGCTTCCCTTCCTTGACCATGTAGAGCACAGCCAGAAATCATTGAAGTCCACAAGACAACATTTGGTTCATTGATTTGTCTGAAAATCATCCGAGCATCATCCAAGCTACCGGATTTAGAATACATATCAATTAATGACGAACCAACATAAGCATCCACTCTATGCCCAATTTTTTGAATGTAGGCATGAATCTGCTTACCAAACTCCAAAGCTCCAGCATTGGCACAGGTAGAAATAATGGTTACAACAGTTCGAATATCCACAACAACTAATTCACGAATCATTGACATGAAAGTTTTAATACCATCTTCGTACTTTCCATTCCAAACATAACCGGAAACCATTGAACTCCATGAAACTATTCCTGCCTTAGGTTCCTTGCAAGTATCTCCAAAATTCCCTTTTCTCAAAAAATTCAGAGGTACATCTTTGAGAATTCTAGATGCCTTATCCATTCTCCCACACTTGCCATACATTTCCACAAGTGAACTCCTTATAAAGCCATCACTGTTGAGGCCAAATTTTAAGACCCTCCCATGAATTTGTCTCCCAACCTCAACAAGCGACAAAGAGGAAGCCAAAATAAGAGCTATGGAGAAAGTGACTGCAGAGAATTCAGTCCCATGCTTCACCATAGAATATAGCTGTTCCAAAGCTAATCTTTCATAACCACATTGCATCAACCCATCTATGATAATATTCCAACTCACAACATCTTTGTAAGGAAAGTTCCTAAACATGTCAAGAGACTTATCCACATCTTCTTCACGTAGATACGCACCCATCATTATATTCCACGACACAACGTCTTTCTCAACCATCAACTCAAAAAAACATTCAGCATATTCAAATGCCTTGCATTTCAAGTAAAGATCAAGAATAGAATTCTCCAGCACAACATCTCCATCAACCCCATTCCTGAGAATCCATGCATGGACTCCTTTACCCAATTGAAGATTGCTTACACCTGAACAACACTTGAAAACACTAGACAATGTATACTGATTTGGACAAGCACCCTTTGCTTGCATTTCTCTAAAAAGGCTAAACACCAACTCTGAAGAGCCAGCTCTAGCAAAACCTGATATAAGGATGGTCCATGTTTGAGTGTCTTTGTGGAGAATTTCATCAAACAGCTTATGAGCATGGTTCATGTTGCTGGATTTAACATAGAGAGATAAAAGATAGTTAGCCAAGTTCGTATTTTGAAGAGAACCATTTTTGAAGTAGTGGCAATGAAGGGCACCAAGTGGTGGTGGTGACGCGTTGGATGTGGTGGAGTAAAGAAAGGAACATGGGTGGCGCCATCGAGAGTGAAAATTGGTGAATGAAACATAGTCGATGAATTTCCGACAATACCCAAGGTAACAAAAACCCATAAAAAGGAGTTTGCCACTCAAAGTTAACTTTCCGAAGCTTATTCATAGATGTACAAATTTAAAATTATTGCCAAGTTATAATTTTTTAAAATTATAAATTAGATATTTTCTATGCGTAGTTGGAGAAAATAATTTTTCGATCGGAGTAAAATCATTCATCCAATAATCACTCTTTGTTCCATGATAATTATTATATTTTTAAAAGATATTTATCAGAAAACAATATTTATATTTGAATCATTTAGTTAATACAATTTTCACATTTAAAATATTTATCGTAGTATAATTTTAATTGTTTTATTTCACTTGAATCATATAGTTAATGCAATTCACCACATTTAAAATATTATTCCTCACTTTTCAGTTATTATATTGAAAAGTATCAGTTTTAATTAAGATAAATAAATTAGTAAAATTATAATTCAATAATAAATACAACAATTATTGTGAGACGGGTACGTCCTACAACTTGCCCTAAAATTTGTTATCATAGACTTTTTTGTCAAATTTGTATGACCATCCATATTTAACTTAAAACTTGAATTATTTTGGGTTACATATATGGTATGCAAGGTTTTATTATAGTGTTCACTTGTTTTACTTAAAATAATTTTTTCTATCAAAAAAATTTAAAAAAACAACATTTTTATGTTTCATAATAAAATGTGATTTCATACTATAGACAAAACACATGTTCATGTCATATATTGTCCGATGTGGGGCTCTGATACCATGTTAAGAAATGTGGTTGGGCCTAACTCAACCCTACAAAATCGGTTGGCAGAGTGAGGATTACCCCCACTTATAAACACATGTTCATGCCATATATTGTCTGATGTGGGACTTTTAACACAAACATCACACCATAGCCAAAACACACAAACATCACAATAAACATATAACTTTCAAACACCACAACTATTTCAATCTTTGTCCAACAAATTGTTCACATGAATGTCTCCCTTCAATTGTCCAGGCCACACGCAAATGACATCTTCAATACGTCCCAACTACTCTGAAATGGGTCGCAAATTCAGTTACAGCAGTATATCACTTCATACACAAGACTTTTTAAAAATGCATGAACTTCTTAGAGATCTTGCTGGCGTTCCTGAGACCTCAAATCCTCAAACACCTGGAATGAATCAACCAGGACAACAGATAAAGGTAACTAGAGGATATGAAATTGATGGCTGGTATGATCAACCTGATCGTCACCATTATTAGTTTATGTAATATTGATTTTAATTAAATATTAATAGTAATTATTTATGCTAAAAAATTTATGATTGTACATTGTCTCCAAATCAATTTGTGTCACCTTTAACAATTTATAAACTGACGCCAATTAAATTGACAACATCATATAATGTCTCTAATCTAATTGACGTCTCCACTAAAGATACAAAAATTATCGCCAATTAAATTGGCAACAACACTTATCATTTTTTCAAACTGTGATATTTTAGAAGAAAAAAAAAATGAAACATGGACTCTTAATTCCTAATTAATTTGAAAAAATGAATTATTTGAGTAAAAAAATTTGAATTTTGTCAACCAATAGCCTAAAAAAAAGTACATATCAAAAAAGTACAAAAATCAAATACAATTTTTAAGTTTTAAAGAATTGAATCATATCTTTTAAAATGATTTTTAAATTAAATTTCTCAATTTGTATTCATGTACACTTTTTAGTTACATGTGTTTTTATTATTGTAAGGTTATTTTTAGTTTTTTTAAAGTATAAATTGGATATTATCTACCCATTCACTTGTTTTACTTAAAAGTAATTTTTCTATCAAAAAATTTAAAAACATTTTTATGTTTCATAATAAAATGTGATTTCTAATTTGATAACCAAGCCATCTAATTCATAATTTGAAGCTCAGTTCAATAATTGATTCGTAGACTACCAAGAAAGTCACCACTGAAACCGTGTTTCTTGGCTGTAGCCGTCTTTGAAATTGACATGAATATCTTGATCAATGGCCGACCATCCACTTTTTCTTTTATTAAGAGAACGACCATATTAGAATTTCCAACTGCCAGATTCCAAAATCCAAAAGTAGGAAGGAAATCATCAAAATAAAGCTTAACTTTTTTTATGAAGGGAAAAAATAAAGCTAAAACTTATTCTGCATAAAGCCGGATCAAAGTTCAACGAAGTATGGAGAGAAGGATATACTTTTGCCTTTCGAAAATATGACAAACAATGGCTGTCTATTCAAAATATTTTACAAAAAAGAATGAGATACAAAATCTTATATTCCAGTAAGGATTGAGCTTTCCTAGTGAGTGGATACAATATCTTAAACCAGTTCTATAAAAAGAGCATAAACAAGACATTACGAATAAGATTAATTAGCACTTATATTAATCTAGAGGAGGGTAGAAGTATGAAGACAAAGAAAAGCCGAGGAAGAGAAGACCACCAACAGTGGCTACAGAACGCTGGGAAATCCTAGATGCTAGCATGCTTCCTCCAACAACTGCAACTGAGGTACAGATTGTGTGCCCTATAGTGGCCCCAACTGCTACTCCAATTGCGTTTTTGTGTGTTGCCAGCTGCACAAGGAAATTAAACTTCATGAACAAAAGTACAAAACAAATACAGAACAGATATAAAAACCACCGACAAAAATTAATGATTGAAGGCATAAAGTCTATAAGGAAAGTAGAAAATGTAGATATAATTAGGGGTTTGAGAGAAAGAGGTTCTTACTGCAATTGTTGCAATCTGGCTACGGTCACCCCACTCGGCAAGGAATGTTAAAATAAATGACTGCATAAATTATGAAAAAGTGTAAGCAAAAAATTATCATCTTCAAGTCAAATGAGTGATGCAAGAGTTGTGCTTACCTCCATAAATATAGGTGTACAAAATCTTGAAAGGAACCGCCGGTATGATGTTTTCCCTTGTCCACCTTCAAGTTTTTCTTCAACCTAGTTCACAAGAACAAATTCTTAGCAGTTACAAAGTTAGACTCTTTTCTTTTAACTGAACCAACTAATTGCACCATCAACTATTCAATGCATGCTGGAGCATGTTTACAAGTAATTAGTTGGGCTCCTCTCCCCATGGCAAAGTGACCATGTGGAGTTACAAGGAAACTACAAAGAAACAAAGTAGCAACCTGAAGAGTTGCATCTATACTAAGATTCTAAATTTTAACATATTTAAACAACCATAAGGTCAATCATCGCTATATTTGAGTTTTTAACTAACACAGATATAGTAACTGTTAAAAAAAATGTGCCATCTTGAATAAAGGCACATGAAGCAATCCATTTGCATGTCTGTACAAGTACAAAGTTTTAGTAAATATACTAGACAAAGTCAATAAAGGCGTACTTCTTCCATTTCTTTTTTCTGTGAAGATTTTGGATCTGATCTCCAAGCAATGTACAGCAGTCGTAACCCAAAGAAAAGATAAAGAACTGCATATGAAAAAAAGGATAGGTTTAGCCTCATCTTACAAAAAATTGAAATTGTAAATGTAAGTTGCAACTATCCATAAACACAAGATAGTGAGTGGAAAGTTGAAAACAATTATATCAGTGAATCCCAGAGGCAAGGCATAGATGGAGAGACGGACAAAATCAACTAATATTGAAACAGATAACAGTACATGGAATTAGAGAGAAACACCTGAACAATGCTAATTATGGTAGCTTTTGTCACATGTGCCTAGTGACGACTTGGCCATTATGATTCAATATTGCATAGTATTACCAATAATTTACCTGTAGCAGCACTATTTGTATGCTTCTTTGAAATCAAATTTGGTACAATCCTTCCCAGTCCTGTTGAAAGTACCTAATGGATAATACAATAACTTTAATCCTGATATCAATGATAATAGTAGTTAGAGCTCCAAGAAACAGCACTCTAAGTTGTTGAAATCAGACCATCACAACACCATGCAAAGAGAATCCATTAATGAGAGGGAAAAAAGCAGGAACATTAAATTTAAAGCATAACTGCTACACTTACTGTCATTATAATCAAGGCTGAGAGCGCACCGGACAAAACAATTGACTTAGGGTGACGCATAGCCATGAGAGCTGCTATTATAAATGTCTCATCCCCAATCTAGCAAGAAAAAAAGATTTTCAGTTATGAGACATAACCCAATCACAGAAAAGATTCAACATTCAAACAGAAACAAAAGCATTCTTAACAATCAAATTTCTCATACTTCTGAAATTATAGCTAGAGCCTGGTTGAAGATAGTTCTGAAAAGTGCTTATAGAAAGAATTATTAAAAGAATAGAATTGAGCTTCTGCATTACCAACATCGACATCTATAAACTTACAAGAACTTTTCCGGAAGCAAACACAAACATATTATAACAGAGAAGCTTCTGTAAGCTTGAAGCTAATCCATACTAAGCTTCAGTTTTATTATTTATAGTTCGAGATCAATTATGTTAAATTAGGTTGAAGAACGCAGAGTCAACAATTAGCTACTAATAGGTCTTTTTTTCCATACAAGCTGCCACATTAACTTTGTACAAACAATGTCAGCTTCCTCTAATGAGAATTGTCTCTCAAATTCCTCTTGCTTTATTCCAGTTTACAGCTCAAAATTTATATAATAGTTTATATAATGCTATTCAATCAAAAGCAAAAACATCTTGTTCTTAAAATCAAGGTTAGATTAGATCAATCAATCAATAATTCTTAACAAAACTAGCATCACAATGGCACACAAGCTAAAAGTTAAAACATGTAGTTGAAATCGCGCGATATTATGAGCAGAGTAAGAGTAAGGTTCTATGAAACTAACCTCACTGACAAGGATCATTGATAGACTAGCAAAGAAAGCATCGAAGAGTCCAACACCTGAGGAATCCAAGCTAAGAGGAAGAACCGCAGCATTCTCTATATCACTCAACGCAACCTGTAAACAGAAATCGTTCACGTTTCTAAGCATCGGATTCAGTTTCCTCAACAATTCAAATGAACAAAACGGCAAGAAAAAAGGTGTGAGGCTACGGATGCTTACTTTGGCACGGCGACCGAGATCCGCAGATCCGCCGGACTCTTGCCTTTCATTATGCGCCAGAGAATCCTATGCATATAAACGAACACATTACGCGGCAATTGATGCGTGAAAACGCGTAGAAAGGAGGAGAAAAGAGGCTGACCTGAGCGAAGGTTTGGAAGATTAAGCACAAGAGAATGAAGAGGCGAAGAGCGAGAACGGTTCTTCGGTTGTTGAATCGCGGTGGTGCCATGGTGAATCTGTGGCAGTTGAATTTGCGAGGGAAGAAGAAGAAGAAGAGAAGAAAAAGTAGAGAGAAAATTGAAGAGAAAAGAAAATAAATTATTTTTAAGAAAAAATTCTAAGGGATTTTTTTTTTTAGTAAAAAGAAGAAAATTAGAAAGTAAGATAGATCTCTGGTTATGGTTTGATTCGGATCTGAGTTATGATTGCGTAATTTGAAATTGAAATGAACGTGATGGAAAGAACCTTCGATTCGATGCAAGATCCCCGAACACTGGTTTCGCTACTTAATGCATTTTCTAAAATTCATTTTTGTTTATGGCTATGCGCGTTTTTGCCACCATCGAGACATTAGCCTCAGAACTCGCCTTTCTTGCTCTCTTGCCCGGAAGCTAGCTAGCAAGCAAGCCATTTTTATTTTATTTTTTGGGTAGAAACAAGCTGGCCAATTCAATTATCTAACATATAATTTACTATATAATTCATGGTGTTAAAATTGAACCGATTCAATAGAAAATTACTAATCAAATCAAATCAAATTGAAAATCGTAAAAAAATCCGCATTTAGTTCAGATCGGTTTGGGGTTTGGACCACTTTTTAACATGATTGCACGGTTTGATTTGGTTTATGGTTTGTATTTTACAAACTAAATCAAACCAAAACAAATTTATGTTACAACCTAAAATTCACTTAATTCAAATCCAACCTAAACTCAAATTTATTATGCTTTAATCTTACGATTATAAATCATTTTCTCTTCCTTACATTTAGGCTTTTAGTTTCACCATTCTCAAATCTCTCCTAGTAGTATCGCATATTCTTCTCATCTTATTTGTCAGGTACATCTTTGTTTCCCTTGAAAATCGGAAAATAACCGCTGATCTTCTAAATCTAACTTTGGTGACTCACAGGATCGATCAGATTGATCCTAGGACATGTGCTAAAGGTTCTTTATTTTGGAAATCTATCTAAGTTTCACACTTAGGCAGTATTGGGGTAAAAAAATCTAAAGAAACATCTTGTTCGACTACGGGATAAATTAAAAGATAAAATAAAGCTTTTAATAAAAAAAGAAAGAAGTTTGTTTGGAGAGGGAAGATTAGATTAAGGACGAAGAGAAAGGAATTGCATAGAAAGAGAAGAAAGAGAGAAAGTAAGGAAGAAGGGTGCAAAGAAAGTAAAAGACTTTGTAAAGTTTAAAGCAAGTAAAGTAAATTTCATTAAGATAAAAGATGGTGTGTTTACATCACGTACATTCTCTATAATACTCGCTTTCTCTACGCTCGGATACTTGGAGTAATTCTAAGAATAATTTGTACAATGGTAAATTACAACACACTTTGTTTCATGTCTAAGACATCCTATTTATAATAGTAAAAAATAACTTCTAATAACCTCCAACATCACCACCTCTCGCCACTTGTCACAATGCATGAATCTATTGCTCATAAGGTGCCACATGTCCTCTTAAGCATTTGGCAAACGAAACTGTTCCCTCCAAAACTTTTAAATTTCAAACCTTCGATAAACCACCAAACAGCAGAAACGGTCGAAGTCCGTGTTTCTCTTCAATCTTGGTGAGTTCTTCGACTCCTTCCTTTAGCTGCCTCACGTCTTTCGACCAACCTTTGCTTTCAACTTGTTTTTGACATTTCTTCTTAAATTCCTTTATTTTGCAAGAGGCGTCGAATTTAGGAGCTAACAATCTCATTTTTTCTTCTTTAATTTCTTCTCTCTTATGTTCTTTCATTTTCATCTTCTCGTTTTAATGCTAGTGTTTTCTATTCCGGATTTATTTTTATCGCGCATTTTCTTCTCTAATCTCTCATCTCTTTTGTTTTTTTCTTTTTCATCTTCTCTCACCTCTCCTCTCCTTCTTTTTTTTCTATTTCATTATAATATTTTTTTAATGTTTATGTTTTATGTTTTTATTTCCCTTTTGTGTAATATGATTTTTGTATATTAAATAGAAAGTTGTTGTGCAAATATGATAAGTTTTGTTGTAGTTTTATAATGTGTATGTATGTTGTCATTTAGATGTGTATGTATGGCTTAATAAAAATATTGTAAAAAATGAACCAATCGAACAAATTCAAATTGTATTGATTTGGTTTGGTTTGGTTCAATTTTATTTTTAAAAGTCAATCAAATCAAATCAAACTGTGTGTTTTTTTCTCTTGCGATTCGGATGACTTTTATCGTCAAAATCGCCTAAACCACATTGCGAACACCCGTAATATCATTCTTCTCTAAATATACTACTAATATTCCTCTCTAAATATAATATTATTTTAAATAATATTTTTAAGAAAATAATACTCTTTAATTTTTTAAGAAAATAATACTCTTTTAAGACTAAACAACCTAAAAAATCATTTAAGTGACTCAATGGTATAAAAAGTAATAATAATATTATGATCTAATAGATTTTGAATAGACTTTTATATTGTACTTTTAGACCTATTTTGATGCAGAGTGACTTGATAACACGGTGATGAGCATACACCCTGAACGTGGGTCGGGCTATAGGACAAAAACCACCGTATGAGGAATAATTGAATAAAGAAATTTAATGCATATAGACAATGCATTAAATGAAAATTAATAAACATTATAGGTAGGTTTAGGTAAGGGATTATAACTTTAATGAACATTAATTAATCTTGCTTAATTAAGGGAACAATAGTCTTGGTGGTCTTTAACGAGTCTTAAAGGCACGGTACATCAAAAGTATTATATAAACTCGTGGTCGTAGAAGAATGAGAAATAAACAAATCATTACGAAGATGATTGAGATTTTATTGTCCCTTGTTGGTAAAATTATACTTGCGTACTTTTTCTAAAATATTTGGTGCTTATTGTGGACCTCGGTAAAACTAAGCTAGGTCACACAAACAATTTCCAACAACAGTTTGATCCCATCTCACGATGGTAAGGGTTGTCACCAATATTAACATCAATGATTGAGTTGTCATAACAGAGATACTAGTCGCTGTGGAAGATATCAAACAAGATAAGGGATGAGATATCCACATATAGAAATCGTCCTTAGACCTAAAACCCTTCATAGCACTTATTGCTCTTTGTTGGTGATAATACATTCAGACTTATTGAAATTTACATTAAGACCTTGATCATATTGTTGACTGAAGTTAATCATGTATGCATTCAGACCTTCTAGTAGCAACACATCCTCAAGGCTAGATAAACCTAGACTGACCAATTTTTTATGCCCTTTATTCTTCATTTTGCTCTATTACCAAAAGTGACATAACTATTTGAGTAAGGTTTCAACTTTTCAAGACATGTTTGTCGCACCTCGAAAATTCATCGAGAACTTACGACCCTCGCGCTAAAGGCGTGAAAATGCGGTTCAACAGAGTCACCATCGAACTTTATTTATCCTGAATAAACGGGAAAGGAAAATATCGAGAAAACCTTTTAAAATGAAAGGATAGGAACAGGGTCATCGCAACCGATGTTCCGGGTTCAGGAGTCGGTTACGCAAGAGGAAGGTATTAGCACCACTCACGTCTGTTGTACTCAACGGGAACCTCTTAATTTGAATTGTGATGAACGTTAGCTAAGCTTAGTTGTTTTCTTCTCAAAATAAATGTGAAATGGTAGGGTAAAAGGAGATAGACACTAAGGGGGGGATGAATGGTCATATGATAGGGTGCTCGCCAAAGATTGAGACCCTTGTGTCTACGTATGCTCATTCGGACAAGAATGAGAAATCAAAGCTCTCGTAGTTTGACTACGAGAAAGGATATGGGGAAACAAGAGATGAATAGAAGGCAGCTCACTAAGATCACCGCAATCTTGTGCCTACATATCTTACATTCAGACGAGAATGAAGAATCAGAGTGTTTGTAGTTCATGGAGACGACCACAAAAAGAGGTGAAGAGTTGAATTCAGTTGAAGTTTGAGGTACGAATGACGATTACTCGAAGCTTAAGAAAGGCTCATCGGGCCCAAGTAATCAGGGAAGTGAGTCAAAGACTTGACTCTCTCTTTTTTATTTTAAAACTAAGTTGCATTTGAATGGTGTTTTGAATAATGAGTGGTTTGGACGATTGTTGAATGTTGTCAATTTGAAAATGTTTTAGAGGCGTCAATTGCTCACACACGAGTAAGATAAATCGCATCTAAATAACTGAAGGGAGATCAAAGGCTCAATCCCCCTCTTTTCACCTTGAAAAGAATCAAATAGTTGTTAATTGTATTAATAGTTTGATTGAGAAAATCCGTTTGACGTTGGATCAAGGGATTTGGATTGAAACTGTGGTGGAACGAAAGTTGGTTTGAAAATGACTCGACGACGAGTCGAGGGTTTGGATTGAAAAATGGAACCGGCTTGGTGATGAATCAAGGGTTAGGTTGTGAGAAACGATACTAGTCCCTGAGGGTGCTCCTAATAACGAAACCACGATGAAATGTGAAAGTGTGTGTGACAGGTCGATGATGAATGCATACGAGCACTCGACTTATGGAGGGTGTTTGAAAATGGCTCGATGACAAATCGAGAATTAGTTTGAAAATGGTTTAGTCTATTCTAGTCCCTAAGGGTGCTCCTAGAAGATAAACCATAACCAAAGCAAATACGAAAGCGTACATTGGAATGGGAGAGGGGTACATGTAAGTTACACGGGATTGCACAAAATTAAAGGGTTCATTGTCAGGTAGCCTAAGAGGAAGCCGTGTGTGTGCAAAGTGTCCTAAACTAAGCCTTGAGCAAAGTCGGACAAAACTCCAAGCTAGGGTTTCTGACAAAGTCCAATAATCCAACAGTCCACCAATTTAGGATTTTATTGTTTCGATAATTGTTATTGTATTTTGAAGAAAATGTGAATAAGAGATGAACAATATGTATATGAATATGAATATTATGACATTATGAACAATATGGCAAGATATATAACAATATAATCAAGATAAAATTCACAATAATATAATCGAGATAATATTAACAAGTATATGGACAAGATAATAAAATCAAGATATAATG